CTCTGAAGCTGCTTGGCCTGCTGTGTTCATCCAGCTCTACACCTTGTTATCTCAGATTCTCCAGCGTCGGCAGTTCCTACTATCTCAATGAGATGAGTTTTTTTCACGTAATCGTTGCAATATCTTTAAATTTAGGAAAAACTGCTCTAAAGCAAGATAAGCATAACTTTCAATCAGGAATTTGTATTATTTTCGTATCATTTGTATCACTTATTTGAATACACACTAAAGATTTGCTATGTACAGACCAGGATAAGTGAAATACATAGACAGCTTGTGCAATCCCAACTCAGCATTATAAAGGATATGAATCTTCCTTCAAATAAATTGCAGCAAATTGCTATACTTTTGTCTACTTATGTCCTGAAAACTTAAAATACCCTTTGAAAACAAATCATTTGGGCAGACTGCTGCTAATGACCACTTAGCTACTCACACAATATTATTTAGTCACTTAAAATATTTACGACTTGAGCTACTAGGGGAAAGCATAATTACAGTAATATATTTCCCAAGTCAATGGGTTTTGGTTTTGTCTGGCATTACATTATAGTCGAATTAGCATTTTATCTATTCTTATCATGTATAAATCATGGAGTTCACCTGTGTCAGCTGTATAGTCTTCATTTGCCACTAAGTGAACTGCTCATTGCTCATTTGGAAAGTTGACACAGATTCAGTGGGCAAATGTCCTCCTCCTGCACTGTAACAATTCTGTGATTTTGTAGTGGACTTGGGTCAGGCAAACAATCTGGATTTATGAAGTGTTACATTATACGGGTGACCAATCTGCCCACCCTCCCTAGCTCTTTCCATTCTCTCCTCACTGAGTCAACCTAGCAAGAATTCTACACAGCATAAATGCCAGCATTATCGACACGAATGGGAATTATAGAAACAAAGTTTCTACATGACCGTCAAGGCTTTGCATTGTATTGCCTAAAACTATAAACATTTGAACAACCTAGTTCTTTTGAGTACACATCCGTGAATTACTATTCTTTTTCAACCAAATTACACCAGGCATCAATACAAAGAGGATGTGCTGGAGGTCTTAGAAAACATAAACGTAGATAAATCTTCAGGACCTGACTAAGTGACCAGGTAAATTAGGGAGGAAATTGTTGGGCCCCTAGCAAAAATACTTCTTTCATCTACAAAAATGGGTGAAGTACCAGAGGACTGCAACATGGCTAATGTTGTGCCATTGTAAAGCAAGGAGAAGCCTGGAAACTACAGACCTGTGAGTCTGACATCGGTGGTGGGTAAGTTGTTGGAGGGGATTCTGAAAGGTAGGATTTACATGCATTTGGAGAGGCAAGGACTGATTAGGGACTGTCAGCATGGTTTTGTGCGAGGACTAATAAGTAGAGTTAGATCACATGGATTCAAAGTGAGGTTGCCAATTGGATACAAAATTGGCTTGATGGTAAGAGACAGAGGGTGGTGGTGGAGAGTTGGTTTTCAGACTGGAGGCATGTAACCAGTGGTGTTCCACAGGGGTCAGTACTGAGTCCACATTTGTCATTTATATAAATGATTTGAATGAGAATGTGGAAGGCATGGTTAGTAAGTTTGCAGATGACATCAAAATTGATGGTATAGTGGACAATGAAGAAGATTATCTAAGATTACAAAGGGATCTTGATCAATTGGGTCAGTGAGCTGAGGAATGGCCGATGGAGTTTAATTTGGATAAATGTGAGAGATTGCATTTTGGTAATAAAGGGACAGGACTTATACAATTAATGGTAAGGTACTAGGTAGTTTGGTAGAACAGAGAGACTTAGGGGTTCAGGTAAATAATTATTTGAAATTTGTGGCACAGGTAGACACAGTAGTCATGAAGACATTTAGTAGGCTTGCCTTCATTGCTCAGTCCTTTGAGAATAGGAGTTGGGGCATCATGTTGAGATTGTACAGGACATTGGTGAGGCCTCTTCTGGAGTACAGTGTGCAGTTGTGGTCACCCTGTTATTATTAAACTGGACAGGATTCAGAAAAAATTTATCAGAATGTTGCTGGGAATGGAGGATTTGAGCCATAAAAATAGACGTGAAAGACTGGGTTGGACTGAGGGGTCTGTTTCCATGCTGTATGACTCTAAATAAAGGGAACTATTTAACAAAGAAATTAGAACATCTGGATGTAAAGTTAACTATAGAATGAAGAGATTGAACAAACCTCTTTTTTTAAAAAATGTACAGGATCCTGAGGGGAATCAATAGAGCAGATAGTGTGAGCATGTTTCCACTTGCAGGGAAAGCTAGAACCAGGCAACACCATTTAGAATTAAGAAACAATTTTATTCTCTCAGAAAGTTATTAGACTTTGGAGTTCTCTTCCCTAGATTGGTGGAAACAGAGTATTGAAAGTTTAATTTAAGGTTGAGTTAGATACATTCTTGACTGACGATGAAATCAAAAAGTATAGGTGATGGATAGGAAGATGGAGCTCAATGCACAGTCAGATTCCTGTTTAAGAAAGAAAGCATTGGAGGCAGTTCAAAGAGATTCACTAGGCTAATTCCTGGGATGTACAGGTTGACTGAGAACTAAACAGGTTAGGTCTTTATTCATTAGAGTTTAGAAGAACGAGGGGCAATCTTATTGAAACATACAAAGATTCTGAAAAGGCCTGACACAGTAGGTGTTGAGAAGATGTTTCTACTTGTGGGGAATTTCAAACTAGAGAATTAGAGACTAAGGGGACACTCATTAAAACTGATATGCAAAGGAATGCAGAGGGTAGTGAATAATTGGAATTATATACCCCAGAGGGTGTGGAGGTTAGATCACTGAAAATATTTAAAGACGAGGTAGATAGATTTTTGAAATAACAAGGAGTTGAGGGTAATAAGGAGCTGACACTAGCAACCACTTGAGACTTGAGGCAGATAAGCCATTATCTTATAGAATGGCAGGGCAGGCTTGAGGGGCTGAGTGGCCTATTCCTGATCCTAACTTGTATGATTGTATGCATGTAAGGTTTTATTTTTATTGAAAGTGCCACGAATTTATTGAATTGATATAAGACACAGACATTGTATGTGATTCCTCCTTTCCCTCACATAGCTGCCACTGTTTGGGATGTAATAAGAAATGAGTTGCAGAGAAAATCTATCAATGAGATAAAAATGTAATGGGATAAGATTACTTTCTAGAACTCATGTGTTGAATTAAATAATTCTCTAGTTTTGGTGAGCAATGAGAAAAGTATAAAAGGACTAGCTTAAAAACAATTGAATCCTCACTAAACAAATATATTTTGACCCCAAATTATAAAACCAAATCTTTTTCGCTGAAGAAATGCATCTGAATGGTAACAAAAAAAAGTTGATTTTAGGAAGCTAATGTCAAAATGTTTGCAGTTCACAGGGGAATGTGACTTAAAAGTATTATCTAAACTCGGGGGCGGGGAGGTGTCGTGCTGCTGGGGCACACCAGAATGCTGCACTGGTTTCTCCAAATGAGAACAAAGGAAGCTCATCTTTGTGATAGTTTAAAGTTTAAACTGCTTAGGCATTTAGAACCAAAGTGGGGACAGGAATGGAACAATTTATTGGTTCACTGGAACTAAATGAGTCAGATGTCCCTTTGATGTGGACTTTGCCACTCAGCAGACCCAGTGGAAGCGAAATCTGATTGACATGAGGCTAAAATACTGTGTCAGATGCTGGATACTCTTGGCCAAGCTGCCAACTCTGCATATTCCAGCTATAAGTCAATAGGTTTGTGGCAAGCTAAAATGGTAACAGAAAGGCAAAAGCCCAGGCAGATTCTATGGATCTTGGATGAGCACCCCCTGACCTCATGGAAATATAGGAAAATTTAGTTTTGGACGATCTTTGTTTAGAATAAACTGCTATTCTAACTAAAGTACATACTGTTCTGAGGAAAGGTCACTGGGCCCGAAACGTCAACTCTGTTTCTTCCTTCACAGATGCTGTCAGACCCTGCTGAGCTTTTCCAGCAACTTTGTTTTTGTTCTTGTGTGTAAAGTGCACACTGCCCTTGGCTGGGCATTCTGATCACTTAGTGATAAGTTTGCTAGTGATAGTGAAAGGTTGGGGGTGATCTCAAAGGAGCAGCATGAAGGCTCAGTGGTTAACATAGAGCCAGGGATCTGGGTTTGATTCCAGCCTTGGGTGACTGTGTGGAGTGTGCAAGTTCTCCCTGTGTCTACATGGGCTTCCGTCGGGTGCTCTGGTTTCCTCCCACAGTCCAAAGATATGCAAGTTAGGTTGATTAGCCAAAGTAAAATGTGGAGTTATAGAATGTGGGGTGGGGCTGGATCTGGATGGGATGATCTTCAGAGGGTTCGTGCAGACTCGATGGGCTGAATGGCCTTTTTTGCACTGTAGGAATTCTCTGGTCCATTGGGTATAGGGCATCAAAATCCATCTCCTTCCACGTCATTGTGTTTCTTTAATTCTGCAAATAGTTTATCATAGAATCTTCACTGTATGGAAGCAGGCCACTTGGCCCATCAGGTCCACACTGACCCTCTGAACAGTATCCCACCCAGACCAACCCCCTCTACCTTATCCCTTTCCCATGGCCAATCAACCCAACCCATACATCTCTGAACAAGGGCACTTGGAGGGAACCCACACGGACACAGGGAGAACATGCAAACTCCACAAAGTCGCCTGAGGCTGGAAATGAACCTGGGTCCCTGGTGCTGTGCAACAGCAGTGTTAACCACTGCTAAGCATGCCACCTGTTTTTTTAATGCCTCCCAACAAGTCCATAGAATCATAGAATCCCTACGGTGTGGAAGCAGGCCATTTAGTTTCACAGTATCTAAACATGATCTTTTAGTTGTCTGAAATCCTTCTCCATTTATAGAAAAAACAAGATATTCCATTCTCTGCGTTCAGAGAATAAAAATTAAAAGCAGGATGATAATTCTTTTGAAGAGGAAGGAAAGCTAGCCTAAATCGTTTTATTTCTGAGGAATATAGTAGTTATTATTATGGTCTTCAATTCAAGATTTTAGATTGAATATTTCCAGCAACAAAGCAAAGTATGTATAACTACAGTCTACCATGGGAACGCAAACTGCCAAACTGTGGTGAGTGAGTATTAACATGCTCTAGATACAAATGTACATCCCTGGATAAAATATTACCATCTTATCTGAAGAGACAAACTGCTAGGCTAATATTAGTAATGTGCGATTGGCTACATGCACTTCTGATCAGATATTAATTATAACAGAAAAGGTTCTTAAGTATTCTAGCTAATTTCATACTTATCTTTTAGTGAGCTGATTAATCTAAGATGCAAAACTCACCAGCAGAATTTGGCAGTTCCAACCTTAACAGCGCAGAAAATTCACTGAATCAAATAATCTCATTCCTGAAAAGGCTGAGTAAGCAAGCTGAGATAGAAAATGACTCCCTCTATGTACATAGTGAAAGAATGTCATACACTAAATTTCACCCCACAGTAACCGGATATTAAATAGCTTGAACTATTTTAAAATGTATATTGTTTCAAATACAAAACTCGTAATTACATTATACAGAATGTCTCTTTTAAAGACTGGATTTGACTTTGGTCCAGCTGACAACTGAGACCTTCAGAAAATTCAAGCTTCAGACCGAAATTATTGAGAAATTCACAGTTTGTATTTATTTGGATGTGAAGTAGTGTACATTCCACAACCAGGTTTTGTAGAACCCATATTTTCTATGCAATGCTGCTGTTCTGGATCCAAAATAGCACTTGCACTGTGGGCACCCTGCCTACAGCTGTAATGCACACCATTTGGTGAAGTTGTTAGCACATTAGCTGGAAGTATGTTCCTAAAGTATGCAGAGTAAGCAGAACCTGATCTCGGTCAGCACATAACTCTGACTTGACTCTTGTGTGCCGTTTTCAAGCCGAGTGCTCCAGCATTTCTTTTAAAATTAACCTACATTTCTAATCAATCTGTTCAGAGAAGTTATTTCACACCTTTGGAGCAGGTGGGACCTGAACTCAGGTCTCTCAGTCCAGGGGTAAGGATGCTACCACTGCACCACAAGAGCCCCAGTCCTCCAGCTCTTCACCGTGCACAGCTGAGCATGTTCATCAAGTAGCACTGGGGGAGGTGTCCTAAGAGCACTATCATCTACTTTCAAGTTGACTGCTGCTTGATTGTGTTCTTCTGGCTGTTATTGAGTTAGTATTTGTTTGTTCTGTGAGTTAAATTTAGTAGAATCTACAGGACTTTATGCAGTAAGTAGGAAAAACCTTGGTCCTCACTTCAAGGGTTCTGTTCACTCTGCATGTTCTTTAGCTACGGATGAAGACAAGATGCTCAACCAATGAGGAACAGGCCAGATTTATCCAGGGATTTAAGAAATTAAGTAATTATCCTACTCAACCTCATCTGAGAATAGTACGTGTGAAGCTTCTGTTTCACTAAGGATGTACTCATTGAAATCCGTCTTTTACTGCTGGCAGAACAGACAGCAGGTTGCGAGCAGCACTGGGGCTGTAGTAGGATCTCCTTTCAGGCTAAAGCGGGGACATCCTTGACAACATGAGAGCACAGTCATTGTCAGCAGGTACATGTCAGGTAAGGGCAGAATGAAGGAGGAGACAACCTACTCGTCCCCTTCATCCATGCTATCTTTATCAGCTTATCTGACTGCAGTATCACTGAACATGACCCCAATTCACCACATGACAACAACATAATATCTCTTTTATGAACTATTACAGTCTTAGCCCCAGTGCTGAAATAAATGCTGACATGAAAAAAAAAATCGAGCCAAATTTATCACATAATTCAACCAATATTGCATACAAGAAATTAATGAACTTTGTGCACTATCTTCGCGTCTGTTGTTCTTGTGCTTTTGCCTCACTTAATGTCCCAATGCTGTGCTGCCCCAATGGCTGTGGCATGCCTGGCAGAAGACAGCTAACTTTTACTGAGATGGCTTTGCAGGATGAATTTGCACAACTGTAAGCGCAGAAGGCCTGACTTCAGACAGAATCAACATGGCATGATAACAGCATGCTGGCTAGCTGATGGGCAAAAGCAAGGAGCAGCAGGGGAGGGAGGACAATTACAATCATCCTGAGAGGACAACATGGTTAGTGCTCCACAGCATCACTACATTTCCCTTCAATAGTATCTCATTAATCTTCTTAATTTGCTGTACTGCAGATTGCTGTTTTACAGAGATCCTACAAGCTACTTTTACTGTAGATATCCTCAGTATAATGCAGCGTACGTGACAGTAAAGTGAGATACCCTACAGCACTCAGATATTGCAGATCCCCCTGCTTTTGCAGCTATGAAAGCTGAGACATTAGCTATAAGCTGCTGCACCATAGTTGGCTCTTTAAGTGTTTGCATGCAGGTGGCCACCACTTCCCAAAGAGCCACTCCTACTCATTTCTCATTGCATACAAATGTTTTTAAACATATCTCTAAAATAGATACTTCCTGTATCAAAGCAAGTGATGCAGGGCAGTGGTGGTGGCGAGGCAGTGGTGGTGGCGAGATTGGAGACACGAAGGGCACATAATTAGACCGGTGATGGCTTATTGAAACATCACCTCTTTCTCCCCTGCACCAGAATTAACTTCTGGGCAAGAAGGTTGATCTTCCTGATGCCAGTTGACGTGAGATTTGACTCATGGTCGATACAGATTTGTTGGCAGGTGAGATTAAATTTTCTGGTCTTGACCACACATAGGAGGTCATTAGAATTCCTTCATGGCCTCTAGGTTCTCAGGCCATACTGTCTACTGGCACCAATGGCTATCTGCTCCCATTGCCTTCAAACAGCTTTTCAGGAAGGCTTCCTGGACCTCCTATTCACCACCCTCCAACCCCCTGCCCGGGGTAGAGGTCCTGTTTGTTTTGTTCACCTCATCCCCAAAGTTTCAGTGTCAGTGAACCTTGCAACACATTTTACAACATGTTGTGCAAATACAGATCAGATGCTCGTCCCCTACCACTGATAGCCAAAAGTCATTTCCCCCTTAACAGGGGACTCCACAAAACCTCAGACCCTCTGTCCAGATACACAATCACTTAGGGAAGTGGCCCCTTACCGCTGTGTTTACTGGTAAGCTACAAGTTACAATCATTTGAAGCTCAGAAGCAACTCGGAAACTATAAGGTGCATCACTATCCCCACTTCTATTTTTGGGGCTATGAGATATTGTCCTATCAGGGTCATGCGTGAGAAGCAATGTTTAAGACCCCTCAAGTGTGTGTGAAATTTTACTGAGTAAAACTTTGTATCCCTTCGGCAAAGTGCACCAGGAAGATTTCAGCAGCTTATCTTGCCAAGTACACTGTAACTGTGAGGATCTTGGCTTGTAGTGATATAGAGCTCACTGAGAAGAATTCACAACCTGAATAAACGTTCTACTCATATCAGGTTCCTTCAGCAATCTGGGTTAATTGTCAACAGCATGAAAGTAGTCCAGACTTGTCTGGATTGGTATTGCCTTACTGAATATGCCACAGGCACAGAAAAGTCTTTCATCATTGTGATTAATTACAACCTCCCCCTAGAAGTAAAATAATCAGCTGACTGATAAACAACTGAAAAGTATGGGTTTGAACACTTACTAAGCAATCACCAGAAGCTCACTCAAAAACTTACGAACACATTGTCATCAGCCTCCTGAGTCAGTGTGAAAACACATAGTACCCTATTCAGGTGGTCGGACATGTGGAGTTTCACATTAAATCAATATAATCACTGAACTATGGATATGTGGGCATGCGTTCACATGCCTACGTTCCAAATACTGACTGTTTGGAGCAGATAATGTCCCAGATCTCACTGCTCTTTCGTTCTGTGAAAGGATTTTTGCAGAAAAGCCCTGTGTGCAAAACTAATCCAACCTGTCTCAAATTGCAACTGGCTGCATGAAGAATCTTCCACAAAATCTCAAGCATCCAGTTTCTAGAGCTACTAGAAGCATTGCGGTAGACCTTCTCTAAGACTATACAGTACATTAAACTAGCATAAACTAGTCAGAGCACCACAAGAAAATAAAATTATGAATTTACTTGTCTATCAGTCCAGCTTCTTTAATTTTACTGTAAAAATTTTTTTCCAAGATGTTGGCACACTTGAAGTATTCGCTCTCTGGAGGGTTATATTCACGACAGTTGGTGAAGATACGTTGCATGTCAGCCATGAACAACTTTTTGGTCACGTAATAGCGGTTCTTGACACGTTCACTCATTGTTTTCAAATCTGTGAATCAATTGTACCCAGGAAATGTTAAAGGAAGGCATTCTTATTGCTTAAAGATATATAGGGAATGAATACGTATTTAGAATAATTGCTGCCCATTTTAATAACGTAACAATTTAAGAGGAGCAGGCCATAAGGACCCTTCAACCCATTTCACCATTCAATAAGATCATGGCTGAACTTCTTTACCAATGACAATTTCCCACCTTATCCCCAAATCCCTTGATTCCTTTAATGCCAAAAATAAATCAATTTCAATTTTGAACATGTTCAACGAGTGAGCATCCACAGCCCTCTTGAATAAAGAATTCTAAAAGTTCACACCTTCTGAGTTAAACATTTCTCCTCATCTATGGCCTAAATGACCGACCCCTGTTCCCAGGTCTCGAGCTTCTCATTATCAAGTCTGTCACACCCTCAAAAAATTTTACGTTTCCATGAAATCATCTCCCATCCTTCTTAATTCCAGGTCTATTCAATATCATCTCAACCTACTCAAGACTCTCTTTATAGGACAATCTTGTCATTCCAATAATCAATCCAATAAACCTTTGTTGAATTCCTCTAAGGAAACAATTCTTGGTACAGCAATGTAAGCAAAGCTGTGCAATACTCCAGGGGCTGGATTACATGCCAAAGGCCAGGTTCCCACACCACAGTATAAATGTCAGAGGTGAACCCACCTTCACTTTGAAACATGAGGCAAAACATCTTTCCATCACAAGGAGGAAGTCCTGTGCCATTGTGGAGCTGGCTAATTGGAAGCGAGCAGCTCTGCACTGCACCATGAGTGAGTGTCTGTGAGTGAGTGAGTGAGTGCGTGTGCGCATGCGTGTGAGTGTGTGCGTGTGTGTGCACGTGCGCGCATGCTTGTGAATGTGTATGTGTGTGTGTGTGGCAGTCTCTGATTGGCACAGGCATTACTATCCTCCCTTCATTAACCAGTAGCACAAGCCAAAGTCAACTATTAATAGGTCATATACAGTTGCAACAAGAGTGGAAAAAAAGAACTAGGTTAGAAGACATGATTTCAGGAATCAAGAGGAGGAACAGAGATGTAGAAATATAGACAAAAGGAGCAGGACAATGAAATTTAGCCATTCAAGCTTGTTCTTTAGCTCTAAGAAATATATCTAACTCCTTCTTGAAACCATTCAACATTTTGACTTTCCGTAGTAGTGAACTTCACAGGCTCACCATTCTCTGGGTAAAGAAATTTCTCCTAACCTCAGTCCTTAAACTCTGACACTTGGTTCTGGACTCCCCAGTCATTGGGAACATCCTTCCTGTGTTTACCCTGTCTAATCCTGTGAAAATTTTATAGGTTTCTGTGAGATTACTCCTCATTCTTCTAAATTCCAGTAAATATAAATCATAACACATCCACAGTCTTGCTTCATATGCTAATTCTGCCATCCCAGGAATCAAACTTTGTTGAATTCACTCCATAGCCAAAACATCCTCTGATAAGGAGGCCAAAACTGCACACAATAGTACAAATGCGATCACACCAAGGTCCTGTATAATTGCAGTGAGAGATCCCTGCTCTTGTACTTGAATTCTCTTGCTATGAAGGTCAACATACCATTTGCCTCTTTTACCACCTGCTGCACAAAGACACCCAGGTTTTATTGTACCTCCTCTTCTCCCAACCTATTTCCATTCAGATAATAATCTGCCTTTCTTTTTTGGCTACCAAAGTGGATAACCTCACATCATATTTCATCCCTGTCATACAGGGTGAATGTGTCTGTGGTAAGTTTTTGAGGTTCAAGCAGCTTCAACTCAGATTATAAACTGGTGGTTGAACCACTGACACTGTGATGCATCAGGGAGGGTGGGGCAAAGGTTTCCTGGATTCTTTTACCAGGAGGGTCATACTGTTTAGGATAGTGTTTTCTGATTTGGTCAGTATTCGGGGACAGCAGATGTGACTGCGAGTCATGAAGGAAATGGCACTGAGAGGGCAGGAAATTGTCCCACGGATTTGAGGTTGTTTCAGGCTGGTTTGGATAAGAATGAGGGCTGCAGGGTAGATGATCTAACTGATCATGACACTGTGGTACAGGATGTCGTTCAAGTTGAGGGAGCAAAAAGGAATGTAGTAATGGTGAAGAACATCATATTAAGAGGGACTGACACCATTCTCTGCAGCATACAGTGAGGGGTCCGAATGGCTGTGTTGCCTGCCTGCTGACAGGATTTGGGACTTCTGATCAGGACTGGAGAGGAGCTTGGAGTGGGAAGGGGGAAGATCCAGTCACCATGTCCAATGTAGACACTTTGTTCTGCCTATGTTGTTGGTAAGAGGTCCTACATAGTCAGTATGAGGAGGGATGCAGCAAATTAAAGAGATGAATATATGAATCAAAGACTGTTGGTGAAGTGCGTTCCACTGGCAGAGCACTGGTAGTATTTGGGAAAGTGGGGTCTGTAGTGGGGTGTGGGGGTGCATGTGGGTTGTGGCTCTGTTAGCTAATTCATAGTATTAGCATAATTGAAAGGGATGACCTACGATCAGGAAACCTTTTACTGTTTGGCATGCCGATAGTCATGTTTGGTTGTTTCACCAGATTGACACCTCATTTTTAGGTATGCCTGCAGCTGTTCCTGACATGGCCTCCTGCATTCTTCATTGAATCGGGGTTGACCTCCTGGTTTAGTGGGGATGGTCGAGTGAAGAATATACCAGGCTCTGAGGTTGCAGCTTGTGTTGGAGTACAATTCTATCTCTGATGATGGCCCACAGCACATATGGATGCCCAGGATGAGTTGAGTCGCTAGATCTGTTCAAAGTTGATCTCATCCAATACGGTGATAGTACCACACGATATGATGTAACGGGAGTGTATTCTCAGTTGAAGGTGGGATTTTGTCTCCAGAAGGACTGTGTGGCAGTTACTCTTACCAATACTGTCATGGACAGATGCATCTGTGGCAGGCATATTGGTGAGGATGAAGTCAAGTATGCTTTTCCTTTTAGTTAACTTCCTCATAACTTCTGCAGATCCAGCCAGGCAGCAATGCACTTTAGTGTAGTAAAGTAAACCTCCCGCTGATTACCACTTACTACCTCTCCCTTGACTGATGAATCAGTGCTCATTTTGAACACTGGAAGGAAGAACAGAGGGTGGCAAGGGTGCAGAGTGTACTCTGGGTGGAGGACTTCAGTGTTCAATACTAAAGATGACTTGGCAGCAGCACTACTGACCATGCCCAGGTGTCGCTTGCTGGCCACCACATTTTGCCATACCTAGCTGCCTTTGAGAAGGTGGTAGGGAGCAGCCTTCTTGAACCACTGCAGTCCACCTGCTGGGGGTTAACCCACAATGACATTCGGAGGGAATTATCAAGACTTTGACCCAGTGACAGTGAAGGAACAGTAATATATTTCCAAGTCAGGATAGTGGGTGGCTTGGAGGGGAACTTGAAGGTGGAGGTGTTGCCATGTATCTTTTCTTTTCATTCACAGAATGGCCAAGATTTATTGCTCATTCGTAAATTCCCATCTAAAGGGCAGTTAAGAGTCAACTACATTGCTGTGAGTGGAGTCACATGGAGACCAGACCAAGTAAGGATGGCAGTTCTTTTGTCCCTTCCCTAAAGGTCATTAATGAACAGCCATTGTCCTTCTAGATTGAAGTGGTTGTGGGTTTGGAAGGTGCTATCTTCCACCAGTAAGTTTTCAAGGCAAATCAGTAACATTTTCTGCAATTTAATATAAAGGTTACTTTTAGGTCAGACTCGTCATTGAAGCTTAATGAAATAAATCTTAAGTACCCATTGGAAAGCGAATGACTTCATAATAACCAGGGGCTTCAGTTTTCTTAACCGGTTCCATGAATGGCCAAGCACTTTGGTGACTCTGTTAATTGAAAACAATTCAGATTTTTAGTTTCTAGTGGCAAAAATTGATATGATAAATAACGTGTAAAGATCAGAGTCACCGTTTACCTTTACTTGTTGCAGGATGTTTTTTAAGATATTGTAAAGCTGGTCAGGGTCTTTGGAGTCTTTCCTGAAACAAAGCAGTCAAATTTTATTTTTTAAATAACCTGTGCTAGAATCTCGTAATTCAACTGTTCAGAGTTACTGGACCAAACATAAAACAAAAATGGTTCTAAGTGATCAAAATAAGTTTGAAATAACACACTCCCTGTTTTTGTAATTAGTTCATGTTTACTGAATTACCCTCTTAAAAAAAAGTCACAAAAATACTGAATGCAGAGCAATTTTTTTCCTTTTGAAGATATTAACAACCCCATGTACAAGATTTCACCTAGTGGAAATTAAAACTTACAGATTCTAACAGTGGGAAGTTAATATTTGAACACATACTGGAAGTCCAAATGACTTATCCCAACAAGACAATGATGTATCCAGTTCTGCATTTCATCTTGTAAAAAAAAACTGGCTTATTTTGCAGTAACAAGCCAATGGACGTTATTAAAATGACACGCGTTATTTTTGACACGATGCTCAGAAACTATGTCTGTCAGCATATATGTTATAAAATGCAACTCAACCAAATATCAAGTTGAAGCCATTGTGGCCCATGTAACCATACTAACTACATTGGAGCAAACAATTTACTATCAGTTAACAATGACACTGGAGAATATCACAGCTGTGTCAGTGAATAAAAAATGTCCCAACAAACCCTCTTTTTCGTCAAAGTATTTTGCAGCATCTGCTGCAAGGGCGCTCCGATGGTGTAGCGCAGGAAAATACTCGACAATTTTGCAGCTCTCCAGTCCCCTCATCCATGGCACCGGGTGAAACTGCAATGAGCAGTGACATTCTTTTATGATGTCAACAGTAGATACTGCCAAAATACAGCAACCCAGAGCCTTCCAGTATGGTAAATCAAGGTTTGCTCAATTATTTTTGTTTTTAAAAGATGGAAAGAGAAATACTGAGGAGATAAATTACTGGTGTACATTGAAAACTTTCAGACTGGACAAATAACTCACAAATGAGGCTCACCTCAAACAGGAGGTGGAATTTTCTCATTAAATTCAAAAACAGGAGAGCTTCCAGGAGGGAAGCCCATGGCCTACTAAGGTGAAGAGTGCACTTCATCTTGCAGCAATTAGATAGCTAATTGGTAGTGGGTTGCATTCTGCTGGGATTAAGACTCTGGACCAATGACCACCCTCTTATGCTTGGTTCAGACCCTCGACTATGAACATTTCAATGAAGATTATTCGCAGTGCTGGTAGATTAAGAATAATGCCCTACCCCCAGTTTTCCACTGTTTGATGTCTGTTTTGACAGGAGTAGGGTCTGAAATGGAGCCAGTACATATACTACTAATTGCATATTTTCATACTGGAGATAGATGAGGTTTCTGAACGTAGGTAGAGATTCCAATGTAGTACCTTTCAAATCTACGGTGCTGAAACTTGGACACCTTGTGGATGTTACACTAACGCTGTAGAACAACATCAACAATGCTGTCTTAGAAGATCTTGTGGATCAAGTAGGAGGACAAAAATAAGTTCTCCAAGATACAAACACACCAAATATAGAGATCATCATAATCTCTCATCAGTTGAGATGGAAGGGGCATGTTGGCAGAATGCTCCACTCAAGACTGCCCAAATAGGTGCTCTACTCAAATCAATGCCAGGGAATGTGTCCACACTGGGGGCAAAGGAAATGTTCAAAGGCATTCTTAAGCCTCCATTAGGTATGCACTGTTAATATCAATGCTTAGGAAGTAGATACCAATTCTGTCACCAGACTTAAAACACCAACTCCGCTTTTCGGTTCTGAAGAAGCGTCACCAAGACTTGAAACAGTGACACTGCTTTCTCTCCACAGATGCTTCCAGCCCCCCTGAGTTTTGTCAACGATTTTTGTTTCTGTTTCAGATCTCCAGCATCCAGTTCTTTTTAGTGATCAAAATGGCAATGCATCATCAAAAATGAGGTCAAGGTCAATTAATTCTACCAGGTGGTCCAGTTTCCTCCCACAGTGCTTAGATGTAAACATAGGAACGATTTGGAGGGAAAGGTAGTAGGAACTGCAGATGCTGGAGAATCTGAGATAATAAGGTGTAGAGCTGGATGAACAGAGCAGGCCAAGCAGCA